TCCTATCAATATTACGCTAGTTAATTAAATGTAAAAAATGTATTGAAAAGCTTCGCCTAAACTCGTATTAAAAAATACAAAAGCAGGGAACAGGGGCGCTACACTGCGGGGCCGCTCGCACTCGGAGCCTCGAGCTAAATTAATGCGGCTGTATTATATTTGTTGTTTAACGTAATATCGACTTGTTCCTTACATAATAAATAACTTCAATGTATATCATATAGAAATCTGTTTACTTGATACGGAAAATGATTTATAACATTTGGAGTTTAAAAGGAAAAATGAGAATCAATGACGTAAATAAGTAGTCGTGAAATTCTAATACTTATTATAACACATTGCATTCTGTTTATTCAAAGAATAAACGACAATATTTTTGTACCAATATTTCAACAACAGAAGAACTCTTCATGTGGTACTCGATCCAAAAGTTTGTGACCCCTGGATGTCTGTCATAAAATCGAGCGTTGTAAGTGATATAGATAAAAAAGACGCCAGGTGTGCGCAACATCTGCTGCAAGGGTATTGTGTTTACAATATATACACATACATACATAGATTAAAATATAAAGCTTAAGGGTGAGTTGCATCGAATCGCCGGTTATCGTAAAAGTTATAGTTATAGTTAATAGGGTTACAAGTGCAAAAACATATTCTCACAGAGGTTTTATGTGTTTTTCGTTTTTACAATGGAAACATTTAAACCTGAATGTCACTAAAGTGTCAAGTTGGTGTCAAGAATGACATTTACGTAAATTAAAATGTTTGGAAATTCATGTTTCGCCGTATATATTTATGTATCATACGCATAGTATTTTATAGTGACATTAACTTTTTGCCCACGGAGATGGAGAAAATGTGAAAATAGACTAGTTTGGGCCATTATTGAAACTGTATTTACTTTAATACTCAAATATGTAGCAAAAATGAAGCAATAAAATTATACAAATATAAATGCATCTTTTTTTATTTTCCATATTATAAATTGTCCTCTCAATGCATATTATAAATTGTCCTTATATGGAGGACATTATTTTAAATAAGAGAAAAGGGACAAGCGCTGTTGCTATGACCTTTGACACTCGAAATTTGTCCAAACTGAATGTTTGGCCAAATTTCGAGTTCCATCTTGGAAATCCATTATTTCCGAGCACGCAAGACTTTATTCTTCTGGATTACGTATAGGATAATAGTAGAGATTTTCTTTTTCCATTACTTTTTCCATTATTTGTACTTTTGAAGATAAGAGCTTGTGACAGTTGACACTACCGAACTGACACTAACCGTAACGCTAACTATAACCGCCCAAAATCGGGCGGTTATGATTAGTGTCAAATATGACGTCATTTTGATCAGCGCAAAACTGGTATAGCGAATATCATGAACATCCGTAGACGTAACCATCGGGAATGTGCTGGTTAAGGTTTATAGTTAGTTAATGTAACTCACCCTTAGTAAATTTTAAGGTTATTCCAAATATTATCGTTACAAATAATTTTAACTTTAACGGTAACCGGCGATATGGTGCAACTCACCCTAAGAAGAATAAGGTTAAAGAATTAGTAACGTCACATTTGAACACGTTCAGTTAATCTCTATTCTTATTTTTAAAAACTACTGTTTGTGGAAATATCACTAATTGCTCGCGACTTTGTCCCTGTGAAATAAAAAAAAACATAACTTGTGTTACTCGCTGATGACGTAGTTTTTTTATGATACGTCAATACAAATCTTTCCTCATTTATAATATACTAGCTGTTCCCGTGCGACTTCATCCGCAAAAAAATATAAAAATTTCATTTTATTGTTCACATTTGTCAAATTATCAATTGCAAATGTTAAAATGACATGACATGATGTCAAAACATGGCAACTTTACTTCCTTGATGTTGGCAGCAACTTATGGTCTCTTTCCCACATTAGGTTTTTTTATCCAAAATATTAACCATAAGTTTAATGGCGCGAAAGTATATAGCTTAAAGCGTGACGCAAGTGTAGGGCTTTTTATTAAAAAAAGGATTATTCAAAAATATGCTGTAATTGCTGACATCTTAGGCAACAAAGAAGTGTGTGTTTACGCTTTATTATAATAGTATACATTAGTAATGATTACGCTAAAAGTTTCGACTTTTTGTATTCATATTCTCTAAAATTACCTTACATCACAGAAATCTCAGAGTACAGTAACACAATAAAGGTCATTCGCCAACAAAATCAATGTAATACTGGTTCGCTTACGATAGAGAAAATTAATTAGACTTTGCTGTTACTAACTCACCTTTATATTAATGTACCAGGTTGATTGGTGAGCGGCCATTTTGAAACTTAAGTGAGAGCAATAATTGATTTAGAAAATTAACATGACACTATACTAGTTTTAATTACTATAAAAGCTGAAAGCCTTACAGAATGCGACATGTTACAAGAAAAGTTCAATAGAAGTCTCCATTCAAAGCCTCTGTCTCCTTTTACAAGTAAGGAAACGATGAACAGAGAACAGAGACAGAGTCTCGTTTGAGAGAGTTAAAAGTTGCGTATAGTTAGGACATCATACTTCATACTAATATTTTAAATGCGAAAGTTTAGATGGATGGATGTTTGTTAGAGTTTGTACCCTAAACGCCTGAACGGATTTCTATGAAATTTGGTATAGATGTAGTGGATATTCTGGAAGAACACGTGGAGTACTTGCTTCTGTATTTTTTTTAATTTCACGCGGACGTAGTCGCGGGCGAAACCTAGTCTAAAATATTTATGCAAAACAGTATGAGACGTAGGTAATATTACGCAATAAAATGGTCTGTGCTTACGCTTGTCATCCTAAGTGTGGATTTCTTTAGCCATGTAACTGCATTAGTTACGGTTGGCTGCACACAGAAAAATATATTTCCACGAACTCGTAACTTGAGAGCACTCAAAACACCACGCCCAAGGTCGTATATAGTATTGGTACTATAATTATTTAATATGAAATTAAAAGAGCTGTCTGCCCTATATTTATACTCTATTTCTGTTTAAAATGTCATAAGAGAACAAACATCCATGATTTAAAATGTATCATAGCTATTCCTTTCTAATTAGTTAGGGATAAAAGAGAAAGAACTCTTTTCTACTGACCGTACAGCATGCCGTCACGTAGATGGCACGTTAACCCGGTCAGTCGAGTACTGCTATTGTTTTGCTCGTATTCACCTCTGTTATGAAATATAGCCCCCTTGAGCGTGACACACGTTTGTTAAGGCTTTGTTCATCTCGTATGAATAGCTGACAGACCGATTTGCGAGACGGCCGCAATACGGAACAACCACGAATATTGCCCGGAAGTTATCGATTCAATATTTCTATTACGGAAATACGAGTATTCAATCAATTCGTTTCTCCTATTTAACCATATTGAGACGTTAATAGTCCACTCATCATCATCAACTTGCCCTTATCCCTTACGGAGGGTCGGCACAGTTTGTGCTGCTCTTCCAAACATCTCTATCAGCCGTCATCCACTCCTTTCTTAAGCATATCCTCTTTCACACAATCCATCCATACTGTCTTTGGCCTTCCTCTTCCATAAATACTCTTACGTAAGTAGTCCACTAAGGATGTAAATTTAATGAGAAATCTACAGTGGTTGCTTAAGTAGCAATTCAAAGTTAATTCTTAAAATTTACTTATAGTTAATTTGAATCAATATTTGTGTAAATAGGTATTCGCAATCGAATTTGAAACATCACTTTTGTACTTAGCAAACCAATTTTTCAAAGGGTTTTAAGGGCATGTTTTTTTATCTGTCTATCAAGAAGTCGTACAACTAACAAAACCAATATGTTACAATATTCAACGAATTCACCAATTTGATACAACATGCACTCATTTCCTGCTCCTTTAAGGGTTATATTTATTGGGCTTCATTATCCTTTCTATGTTTTCTTTCTAGTTATTAGGAATTACATTTGGTGGGTGCTTTCCCCAAATTTGACCACCGTTTCTCTTTATAACTGGGGCTTTACGACGAATTTTTAGCTTATTAAATTATGAGGGAGTTAAAGGCATTAACTCTGACGCTGGCAATTCATTGCAGTCCCTACAATTAAAGTTCAAATAGCTTCATTCAAACTTAAACAATCTGTGACAATAAATACAAACATCTCGTTGCATGTTCTTTTACCATATCTTATTCCTTATGAAGTAAGTTAGTGAAATTAAATTCTACAATTGTTAAAACTATTAAATGTTACGTCCCACGACGCTAATTAAGAACGAAATTTTAAAAACAAATTAACGTTGTATTGTTGTCGGTATTCTTGCATCGCGTTTTGAGTAATGAGCCGAGTCACGCGATTCTAGTGATGTATTAACAATTTAATCGATATCGATGTTTTACAACAACTAGTGTTTGAATTCTCATGGGTTTAAAGATAAATTGATTGATTATTTATCCAGATATATATTTGAGTTGATTTAGTAAATCTGTATTGATGTTTAAATTATATAAATGAACATATGGATTGCTAGTAAAAGTGTTTCTACGCAATATGTTAGAGGTTAATAGTTAACGAACACAAATTGCAAGTCACTTGCTGTTGTATAGTGGTATCTTACGTAATTATTTATAATAGTATGATATGTGTGCTTTCAATACTACGTACCTACGATATAAACACCATCATCACAACACTATTGATTCCCACGACAGTGGAGACTGACCTTACTATTAATTGACATTTGAATTGAAGTTTTTATCAGTATCGTAAAAAAGTGCTTATGATTGTCAGCGAAACGATGAATTATTATACAACAGTTGAGACCATCCAATTGTTTAATACAAATGAAAATAATTTTGTATTCAAACTTGAAATAATTTACATTACAAAGAATAAAAATATGTTAAAACAATATTTACTTTCTATAACGATAGCACATCACTAGCTGGCATCTCTATTGACTATAAATTTATTTTCTAAACTTTTAACAAAAGAATTAGATTAACTCGATTGAAAATATTATGAATTTTATGTTTTTTATAATTAACATATTCATAGATCAGATTATGTATTAAAATATAAAATATTATCGATTTATAGAATAACTAGGATAATTCCCATAATTCTTAGCGTCGTGAGATCGTCATGAATATTTATTCCGTTCTGCGCATATCGAATATCGATATATTGGCACATCACTAATGCGTGGTGAAAATGTCTTCCATTGCTATTGATTGTCGCTAAATTTCCATCCGCCATCCGTGATCTTATTACCCTGAGTGCTTCCAATCTTTAGCCAACTCTTTGTGACGTCATATCGCTATTAACGCTTGAAGCATATTTAAATAAATTGAGCTCTCGCTTCTTCTACTTGTATTAGAAAGAGACAGCAATTCGATTTTGAAAAGTGTTAGGATGTTGTATTCTTTAATGACTATTTTCTCTTTAAACTCTTCGACTTTGCTTTCAAGTTGTTACATAAGAGTAGAATATGATAAGTAAAAGTTCCAGTGGCTTAAAGTTTGTTACCGTTTGTATACCATTAAAGTTTTTAACAAGGCGGAATGCGGCGGAGCGTTGTCACGAGTTTCATACTTAGGTCACCGACGGAACCTGTTACTGTACTTAAAACTTTAATACTTAACGTATGTAGGTTTTAAGTTAGCATTTCTCTTTGCTCTTTTTAATGAAATGCGGAATGAGAAAACCAGGTCCAGTAAGTAAATGATAGAAATATAAATATAGTATTTTTACACATTATATGTCTTAAAAGTTGCTAAAAATACAGGCCACATAGAAGGCATGCGTTAAGTGGAAACAATTCAGCGTTTAGTCTCTTGATTTCGCGTATGGAAAGCCTAATTTATAATCTAATTTACCGTTCGGATTTGGCAGTATATAGCACATAAGAATTATCTTCTTTCTATACGTCTCCTCTGTTCTTTGCATGATTAAACGTCCTAAGAATAAATAACGACATAATTTTGTATTAATTACTGTAAATAATTATACCTACTTTTTTAATTATTTTCAAAACTTAGGGAGTTGAAGTGGTCATACAGCCTTCCCCATTGCCGAGGGTCCCTTCGTTGTAAGTTAATGGCCGTGTAAGCCTCCACAGTTCCAACCGGGGAAGGGATCTGCGTCCCTTGACAAAGTGCCACACGTCCCTTGGTGACTGAGTAACAGGGGTTCTACAAAATGGATCTATGCATTATTTATTTGGGATTTTAGCTTGTATATAAAATGAATTTGTAAGATGTTTATGTATATAACAATTATTAAAATTTAGAAACAAATCTGTTGGTAATCGTCGGTTTTAAATTTACTTATTTCTTTGGGGTTTATACACCATGACAATAAGATAAACTCCACTTATCTTAGTACATACAATGTTAAAATAATTCTATAATTCTCGGACGTGCTGGCGATGAACAGACAGACAATGGGGTCCGGTAATAGGATAATCACGGCACATGGCCCCGACTTCCAGTAATAAAGGGATTGCCGACCGTCTCTTCACGTGGCATATTATCTACTTAGTTGAAAAATTAAATAGTACATTCCAAATATTTCCTGCTTCCGTAATTATAGGACAACTTTATTATTGATACAATATATATTTAGTCTTATTACAGATTTTGAAGTTATCTATATTAATATTGTTGCGAATTAAAACGATTTATTCCAGGTTAGTTATATTTTTATTAATTCCTTCCCCTGACTTAACAACCAACGTTCCCCTGGTAACCGCTTACAGTTTTTATATCCAAAGAGTATCAAAATTATATAACATGTCACAAATTAAAAAGCTAATTATCAAAGAATATTTACACGTAACAATATTATAAAGAGGAAATATTTGTATTTTTGTATATACTGAAAAAACTCAAAAAGTACTGCGCCGATTTCAATAAATCGCTACGTTATCAGTGAGCAATGTAAGCTATATTTCATATTTTTAAATTCCATGCGGACGAAATCGCGCGCAATAGCTATATCAACTATAAAAATATTTACTTAGAATATTCGGAAATTTTAATAAACACACCGAGACCCAAAACACGAGTACGAAAACATCTCACGCTTTCCTATCAGACATTCCTTCCCTCCGACCCGGGTCTCGCATTCATATTACATTATTTTTGTATAAACGCCACGCTCTATTACTTTATAGGGCAAGCCGTTGCCATGGCAACCTAATTCCCCCGTAATCCCCTCTATTTTAGCGCACCATCCCCTCGATCCCTTCAGTTATAAGGACGCCTATCATACCGTAGCGAAACAAGTATTTAAATTTTTTACTAGACCGAAATAGATATTAGAGTAATATACGAAATCTCTGCCATTTATTAATTAATTATAAATTTATATATAATTTCATATAAACCTAATTGTCAATGCTCGGATTTGATGTTATTTGTGCAATTTAAGCAATGATAAGCGGTGTTTTATTTCTTTTAATTATAGTTTTTTTTAATTTTTATAATAGAACGATGTCTCTATTACTATTGATTAAAAATAAGAAGTGCGTTCAGCCTTTCTTATTTCATTAATATCCTTACTATTTGAGTAACGCATTCCAAGATAATATTTACACTGAATGATACGGTGTAATAGGCGGCCATTGGTCCCTGCATGCAGTGAAGAAAGTGTCCATTCATCGTCCGCCCTTGCGTTTCCGAACGCAGCCGGTCCCTTGATTACTTGCTCCAATACGTTTTTTAATTTATTTTATAAATTAACGAATCGTGCATCCTGCTTGTAAAGGAACGAGTACATATTTTAATCCAAAAACTTGCGGCAATTGTAACTTGTTTAATACGAACTTGAAGCCTGATATGGCCGCTATCTTCTAACAGTCGAACTGTCCAGGTGAAACTTTAACTGTATAATTATAATGTTCCCTAAACGCACTCACCTAACTGGGCTAACTCAGGTTCTAAAACCTAGCGACTGTAGTAGTCTTTACACGTAGTTCGATGTTTGTTTATTAATTCCGCACAGAACAATTCGCGGGTAAAAGCTAGTTGCTAAAAATAATAATAGTATGTCCAATTTGTATAGTAACAAAACAGTGCATTATGCTAAAAATATACGTAACACTCGAGTACGCATACAGGCAGTGAGGGTGTTGACCTACCGCGTTTAAATCTAAAATTACAAATGTAATAACCGGTTATCAGTAATCGTGTGTTGCGCTGGCTAAACAAATATTGGTCCGCGTTATCGTTGCGATAATGCGAAGTGCAATTAGTGCACTACCAACCGTGACTTATTTAGTCCCAGTGGCAGCCAAAGTGTTAATATAAGTCGTAACCACCAGTGGAAAACGCCTCTAAATAAATGTACTCTTTCGCTCGCAATTTAAATGTTAGACTATCCTCTACATCTATACCAAGTTTCATCATCCATCCATCTAAACTTTCTCATTTATATTAGTATAAAGTGAAGTATGAAAGTATAATTATTTATCAAAAGACTAGCTTTCACCTGCGACTCTGTCCGCGTGGAATTAAAAAAAAAACCTTCGTGCCTATATGTTCTTCCAGACTACTCTCTACATCTATGCCAAATTTCATCCAAATCCGTTTAGCCGTTTAGGCTACAAACTCAAACAACCATTCATCCATCCATTCTGAACTTTCATATTTATAATACTAGTATGATGAAGCCTAAATTACTTGGTCATAATAGCTTTTTAATGGCGAAAGAATTTATGAATCCAGTTCAGTGGCTTCGAAACCAATTCAATAAAAACAAACGAATATTATAATTTTCTTTAACATTAACATTTATATTCATTAATAATTCATGTTTCGACGTTAAATAAATACAAAGGCTTTAGCTTAATAAAGTTTTCTTAAGCCAGCAGTTTGAGAACTTCCAAGTAACATTTAAGTAACACGTGCAAGTTGAACCGACGTTACGTCCTGCGCAACTTGAGCAACACGTGGCCGCTTCGATTATCTCTGATTATTCCTGTCCAGAATTGATTTATTCCTTGCACGATTGAGAGCTCTTGTTACATTTATAATCTTGAATTTTAAATGTAGAACTTTGTATTTCATTTGTTTTATCCATTGATAGATGGCGCTGTATATATGTAGTCTATTTAAATCGCGATGATGTAGTTATTGTACCGTTAACTTTTAATATTACAAGAAAATTAGTATAAGCATCTATTTCGCTTACTTACTGACATAAAATATACCTAGTAATAAACAAAATGAACGGATAATATAAGTTGTATATAATTTATAGTAAAGTCTAATAGTAAATCAAACTAAACATCTAATATCTGATTAAGCGACTACAAACGGGTACCCGCATGTTGTTAAACTAACAAGAACCAACTTATTTGCATTAGGACCCAACTGACTCTCAATGTCTATTTCACACGAGGGCAGAACATTGATGCAGAGCAGTAGACAATGCAGAATCAAACAAGGCCCGTAGTCAAAATCACATTCGAATCGTGATATAGCTAGTAGAATCAACAAAATATAACAATATACTTTAAAAGTTAGCATTTAAATTCCGTACTGTTTTGACAATAAGTGTGTTTTCAACTAAAATGAGTAGCACTGCACTGTTTACTGCTCTGCCTCGCTGTTCTGTCCTACTGTAAAACAGGCATAAGTTACGTCTCGCCAAATTGGAGCGTATCAAATGTGAATTAATTAATGTTCTGCAAAAGCTAGGCGTTTCAAATACATTTGTAATTAATAATAAATTATCCTAATTGTAACTGAGATATTAACTCATATTCTCAATTTTACTAAATAAACCTTACTTTAATTTTTAAAAGACATTTATGTACACATACTGTTAAAATGTGTATTTTTCTACGGTCGAATGAATTGACACCCTTTTTCTAACTTATAACTTCTTACTAATATTATAAATGCGAAAGTGTAGATGGATGGATGTTTCTATAATCAAAAATCTACAGTTTACGCTCTAAATTGCTGAACGCATCTCGATGTTTGTCGTAGATGTAAAGCAAAGTGTGGAACACAGGCTTCTTTTGTTTTTTGATTCCTCGAGAAACGAAGTCGGGGTTGAAAGCTAGTAAGTCGTTAACGATAGTTAAGGAAATGAAAGATATGCTATTATTATGCAGGATCGATATCGCCCCAGTTTCACCGTAAATTAAGATGCCTGTCGACTATTTTTCACCTCGTTGATAAAAGATACCATCTTAGAAAGTGTGGAATTATTCCAAAACGAGTAACGTCAGCCCTTGGTGGATAAACGATTTGGGGAACGCACGCAGCAATAAACTAGATAAGTTAAATAGGGGACACGTCGGTTAGTTAGGGGTGGAAAAACAAGGGTAGAAATAGGAGCGGTTTACTACGAAGAAGGTAACGAAGATTGTCATTAAATAAAAGTAGAAGCGAAGATGATGAGAGAGAATAAGTTTATGTTAATATTATGTAAAAGTCGTTATATTGCAAAAAAAAGGATTAGCTTAATACTGCGTATTTGTTTATTTAGACACATTATCTGCTTTGTACTTGTAAGTTTTGAAAGCCTAAGAGAATAATAAATGAAATAATCTTTGTTCCAAGTTAAATTTACCTCTAAAATGTTAAATTACTGAAAATTTAATAATGATAATCTGCGTATAATGCGGCCATATTAATAAGTAATCGATATTAAATTTGGCGTTGCCCTAATATTGAAATAACACCAAAATTTCATCTTGTTTCGAATTAAACGTCAAATCCAATAATCGAGACTGCCAAGGCCAATGTATTTAGTTCCAATCAAGGCTAATTAATCCTTACCGAATTTCTGACAGAAGTCGGTTCCAGCTTTTGGAATAAATCACGAAATCCGTATCCACTTTATTATCCTATAAAGCGCAGTATCTTCAATTTATCCCGCTGACAGAGTAATCCGGATACGTAAGTACGGTCGGCATAAACGTTACACAAACTGAAACTTCGATCCTTGTTGCGGTGGTACAGACAGCACGTGCGCCACCTCACGTTTCTGATATAAACTAACATTTCAACATTCATAACACGCACAGAGTACAACAAAACAGATATGGATGATGTGCTTTTAAAAGTACTGTTGCTTAATTTTTGCAGTTGTTGAGAGCTTTATAGTTAACCTATGTGGCCTCCTTTTAAATAGCTTTTATAAAATACACTATAGTTGGAACTATAGTATAGTGTTTAGCTAAAAGTTGAAAAATTGCACAATGTATTTTTTATCAGAGACTTCAAACTTTTACAAAAATGTAACGACCTCTACCAGAGATTCAGAGCAGTGTTTTGTTCCGCCCAACAGTAACAAGGCTATTCGTACGCAGAAATTAAGTACTAAAAAATATTGAGAGCGGTCAGCACAAATCGATTATAAAGAATTCAATTCGCTTGACCGACTTTAATAACGAAGTTGCTTCGGTTGTTAAAAACCTAACTCGTACAGAGTATTTATTGTAACCAGAGACTTCAATTTAATGTCTTATATTGCGTCGTATCAATTATTTTCTAACAAAATATTGCCAACTATAGAAGTGATCTTTTATATATTTTTACGGACCCTAAGTTTTTTTAAATGACACTTACATTACATAAATAAAAAACTATATATTTCTCAGTTCTTCATATTGACCTTTTAATAATAGGCTCGCCCAATTATTATTTCTAAACCAATAGACTTCAACTTTCATTTGTGTCCCAAATTCTAATTGGTTACATCATGAGCAGTTTGTTAATAGCCATTTTGTTACAACATTTATTGTAACATAGTTTTAAAGGGCTCCTATTTGTTGTAGGAAATTTCTTATTCGTTTAAAAAGATTATTGACTTTCAAAAACAACAATAATATAATTCACCACAACATGTGTGTAACCTAAAGTGGTAAGCAGTGTTCACAGACCTCCTTTAGCGGGATCCTGAGATGTCACTTTTGAATAAATTTAAGGTCAATTAGTAGTACTCATACTTAAGTTAGTTTTAAACTGAATTTAGTGTTTTCACTTATTGAATTTCCCGAAGTGATTCATTAATCTTAAGTAACATTATACTCAACATTTGTTTTTTTTTTCAGATGATACCACAGCACAAACGAAGAAGTCCAGTTTATTTATAAAGTAAGTGTTTTGCATTTTGGATTAGGTTACGATATTCAATTGCATTTGTTAATTCAGCCTTCGGACAATATTATTATATAAATATACCCGCAGTGGGCCAGCGTGGTTGACTATGGCCTAATCACCCCTTATTTGGGTAGGCTCCTAGCCCCTCGGTGGGGACGTATAGTGAGCTGGTGATGATGATGATGATACCCATAATTCCACTACCATACTTTGCAAACATTGCATTAGCCATAGGAGTTAGTGACACTACGTATTCTATTATTTCTGTGAGATTATAGTAATAAGAAATGTTCGCGTTTATAAATGTACAATTCTTAACGAATACGATGGTATTTGGTACACTACGTTACAAAGAAAGTTAACATTTTCCCGTTACAAATCCTCGTATACTTTTACATATTGATTGGCGTATTTTTTGTTGTGTATTCATAGTTATTGTTCGGTCGTGGCGTTTCGCCAAATCTTTGCGCTACCCAATGATATATAGGGCAATAATCTTGGACTGAACGAATCAAACCGATGACCCTATAAATTACTTACGCCAAAATGAATGTTATTGTTAAGTAACCCTATATGGTTTTAGTAAAATATGTAAGGAAATTTTCTTTTATAACATAAGGTGGCAAACGAGTAAACGGCCACCTGAAACCACCGAAATGGAAAGCGACCTCTGCCCATAACCATCCGCAATTGCAGATGCGTTGCCTACTCTTAATTGACGGAGGAGGAGACGCAAATAAAGAGGACATTTTCCCTTCCTACGCGTCTCTTCCACTGTCAAATCCACTTTTCCTTCTCATCCTTTCCTCTTAAGAAGAGGGTGGAAAGGGAAAGGAACTAAAATTAGACTAATAAAATTATGCTTACGTGTTGGTTTCTTATATTGCTTTAAGCGTTAAATGAACTTCATTTTAAATCACCATCATGAATGCTAATACATCTGCAGGAATGGCGTGTGCATGAGCGTTAATTTTCACTTTATTATTCCCACCTTACATTTCACCCCTTGTCTTTATCAGTAGATGTTGGACACAGGTGTTTCTATTCCACTCTATGCGGTCTTTCGTCTTCTGCCTAAACCAAAATTTTTTTTTCTTTATTCCGATTAGAATAATTGTACGGTTGTTTTACTCCTATCAGATTTATAAGTATTAAGTTTCGTTTGAATAACCTATTTTAAAGCAATTAAGCGTGGAAGTAAAGTTTAAAGCGTTCCTGATGTTCGTCAAAACTTTTCTTCCTACTCTAAAAGTATAGGAAGTAATAAACCGTTTGGAACAATTAAATTTCAACTCCCGCAAGCCCTTTGATACAAGTCTTACTGCGATTGTATAAAGCGGCAATAAAATTAATGCGGTTAATGGATGGAAGGGAAGAGTTCAATTCCAGAGGCTATTTTTGCGAAGAGAGCGCCTATAAAAACTTTTTCACGCTTCAAAGGTAATTTGCAGAGAGTTTTTATAAAACTCAAAGTGGAGTTCCGCAAGGCTTGATACTTGGACCAAGTTACTTTCAAAGCATATATTTCAATACTTAAGCTTAGGCAAAGGTTGTGTGTTATTATCTCGTTAATAATTTTATAGTAGGTTATTATTAGAGAAATTTACTGCTGGAAATAATTAACAATAAAACCGAAATTGCTTAATTTAAATTGAAGGTAGAAGTTAAAAGCTAAGTCAATTAAAAAGGACCCAGAAAGTGATAAAACTTCATAAATTAGATTCAATAGCTGTTTCGCCTCGCAAGAGATAGAGTAAAATTGGAGAACTGACCGCCAACCTTCGCTAGTGGGAGAGGCACCTTAAAAAGAAGAATCTGTTACTAATTTTTCAAGACTAGACAAAAACGAAATAAACTACATTTACAGTAAATAAAACATGTACAAAATACTAACTCTTAAAATTGATTTCGCAAAGAACCCTTACCTATTGATACTGTCCAGAATTGCCCAAAGGGTTCCAACTGACAAAGCAATGCCCAAACTAAATTTGTCCTAACCCAATTATAACGGTAAATCCAATTTTTTCTTCACAAGCTTTCCGAGGTCTTTTGTTGAATGTAACATGTCTCCGTGACACAACTCACTAAGTTATTGCGGGACGTTTTTTATCTGTATGCTTTTGTTAAACATTCCGTGGGCGTGGATGACATATAAAATGTATCTTTAGCGAGATTCTTGATATAAAACTCAAGCATAAAGCCTATGAAATACGCATAAAAGTAGATCTATACTAGACTTAGAAAATAACAGTGAAAACAAATATTTCATCAGACACTAGCTGATCCCGTGCGGCTTCATCCGCATGAAATTATGAAAATTTTATTTTATTGTTTACATTTGTCAAATTCTCAATAGCAAATGTCGAAATGATATGACATGACAAACTATGGCAATCTTGCTTCCTTGATGTTGGCAGCAACTTATGGTCTCTTTCCCACATTAGGGTTTTTATCCAAAATATTTACCCCCTAAGTTTAATGGCTTGAAAATGTATATCCTAAAGCATTACGTAACTGTAGGGCTTTTTATTTAAAAAGGAATTACTCAAAAATATACTGTAATTGCTGATATCTTAGGTAACAAAAAAGTGTGTGTTTACGCTTTATTATAATATTATAGATTTTACGCAGCATATTTTTAGTTGTTAATTACCATCAGAGAAGTCAAATGTTTACTAATTCTTACCTTAATAAATCTTGCTAAAATACCAATAAGCTTTGTATTGTTGCCGTTTATTTATCTAAATAACAAAGTATTCTTAAACTAAAACTCAAAGAGTGTAATTTCCGAAAGAGAGGCTGTGCAATCAGTCAAGCGAACACAAAGTGACCCTCCTGACGAAAATAAACCGACCAAGTTCCAAGTGGTGTTTAAGAATAGAGTACACATGCTTTTATACGTTTTAGGATTAAGATTGAATACAATGTTACAGTGTGTCTGTTGAATGTCCTGATCTTCGATATCGTATTTCTATCCTAATATATTCCTTCTTAAGATCATCGGTGTGTCAGGGGTTGAGCACTCGACATGTACCAATGTGATTTTCGATTTTTCGAATTTCTTATGTATATAATTTACTCGACATTCTTGCGGTCAAGAAACGTGATGCAACCTGCACATATCGGCGAAGCAATTCAAAGATATGTGTGAAGTCAACCCGCAGTGGGCCAGCATGGTTGACTATGGCCTAGTCACTAACTTAGGGTATGCTCCGAGCACCTAGGGGACGTATAGTGAGTTGGTGATGGTGATATTCCTTGATATTAAAAAATAGTTAATTTGCTATGAATTCATGGATGAAATTCAAATTAGATCCAATCTTTTCATCCCCGGTAGAGTCAGAGTAAAACAGAATGAGGGCTGTAAAAATGTAAGTAGACATTACGATTTTACGCCGTTCAATCTCTGTTATCAATAAACGTGAATGTTTAGGGTAACGACAGACCCCGGAGAATACGGGTATGTAGATTGCGCAATTCCATCTGATATCGAGAGGAACGTGCTAGTGAGGTATAACCTTTAACTTTACTGTCTCCCAGTTACACTAACCTTCGAAAGGATATTTTTATGACTGTCTTAAGAATTGGTGAATCGTGTAAATACGTTTAAAATATAATACATTTAAAGAAGTACTACTGTTTACTGTCCGTCTAAAATAACCAGCATAAAATCTACAATGCCTTTTTTCCTTGAGCCAAATATGTTGACTAATGCCTAGTCACCCCCTAACTTACAATAGGTCATAGCTAATAACATCACGTACTGTCCTCTGTCTACCCTTCTAGAGAGCAATCGTGTTCTAATATTTTTGTCATACAACCACAGACTAATGACAGTTTATAAAGACTACAATCTACAGAGCAATAAATTATAGACGCAAACAATCTATGGCAATAAATTATTCATCCGTTGGAAACAGCGAGAGCTAGAACGGTAACTAATTGGTACACGGTCGGTATTTACTCTCACGACCGCATAACAGACGCCCATCTAGACAATACGTTTTTGTATTCACGTATTTCGAAGTTACAATAATTTGTCCAATGTTGTGGCTTTCAAATCAATTTCGCTATAACTCAGGGTACTTTAAGCGAGCTATCATTACTTAGAAGTAACAAAGCAGTTCATTTAGTATTGCGGATGTTCAAGAGTCTTGTTTATCACCTTGGTGTTCCCCCCCCCCCTTTTTTCTTACCTATAAGAGATAAGGCAATAACTGCAATGGTCGATACAATTAAAGGAAAGAGAAGTAGTAAAGAATAGAATAGCACAATCGAGCGAGCCATTGCTCGCTCGATTGTGCTATTGCTGTCCTGACAAGGACATCCTAAAATCATGGTAATCATTTTGACGTAATTTCCATGATGTCACAATTAATTCTTATAACAATTTGTACAGAACATTCCTATCTCCCGCAAAGTAGAATAGTGTCTGTTACGAGGTCGCGGATAGGTCAGCTGTCAGATAATGCTCGCTTTGTGGCCCGCTATCGCTCTCAGCCACGCCGTGCTGTAAACAACTTACTCACAAAGGATACCGCTAATACTAAGCGTTTACTAAGAGTATACTATAATTAGACCACCATTATACATCAGATGGGAACGTGGTCAAGCGCTGGTTCATACTTCATACTAATGTAATAAAGAGTAAGTTTATATGGATATTTGTTAGAGTTTGTAGCCTAAACGGCTGGACGGATGGCGATAGAATTTGGTATAGGCGTAGAAGATAGTCTGGAAGGACACAGGCTACTCACTTTTTTTTTTAATTGTGCCCGGACGGAGTGGCGGGCGAAATCAAGTTTGTTATAAAAACTGACATGGACACGAACCAATTATATTTGCTAAGTCTATAGTTAATAAAAAAAAATAGGGTAAGGGTCGTTTTACGAAATTTCAATCGTATACTAAACCATATTAGATTTTCCATTTTACTTCAATTTCCGTATAACTTTTGAATATAACACGAACATTTGTTCTCCTTATATCAAAGA